TCAACCAGTGATGTTGTCGGGAGGTAGAAGGAATAGTTCTCGAACCTTCTCAATCCCACCAGCACGTCTTCCATGGAGGAAGCTGAGTCAGGGGACTTTGGGGTTGATCCATCCATAACCGTGGCTGAGGTCGCCATGGTAGGTAAAAAGCTCTGAGGCGGCAGGGCTCCGGGAGTGAATGAGATTCTCCCTGATTTTCTTAAGGCTTTTGATGTTGTGGGGCTGTCTTGGCTGACACGCCTTTGCAACGTCGCGTGGACATCAGGGGCAATGCCACAATTGGCAGACTGGGCTGGTGGTGCCCTTTTTAAAAAAGGGGGACTGGGGGGGTTTGCTCCAATTATATGGGCATCACTCTCCTTAGCAACCCTGGTAAGGTCTATTTATGGGTACTGGAGAAGCGAGTCAGATCGTTGGTCAAACCTCAGATCCAGGAGGAACAATGTGGGTTCCGTTCTGGCCACGGTACACTGGATCAGCTCTTTACCCTCACTAGGGTCCTCGAGGGGTCATAGGAGTTTGCCCATCCAGTCTGCATGTGTTTTGTGGACTTGGAGAAGGCATTCGACCTTGTTCCTCGTGGTACACTGTGGGGGGTACTCCATTAGTATGGGATTGGAGGCCCGTTATTACGGGCTGTTCAGTCAGAGTCAGAGATTCTTTATTGTCATTCGCACCACATGTGGTACATAAGGTGGAACAAAATTATGTACACAGGGTCCCAGTTACATCCAACAATAAAATGTAAAAGAAAAACAGTAATAAGATCTAAGATATGAACTAAGAAAAACATCAACTAAAATACACTAAGCACTAATAGCATAAAAACATTACATTTAACAGCAGTACGAACTTGAGTTTGTGTGAGCAGATGAGCACGCATGAACACATCAACATGAAACAGATCAGCAGCAACATTGAAACAGATCAGCAGCAACATGATATGGTTTTTCACAGTGATTATTCTAGTTAGAGATTCATGAGTCTAACAGCCTCATGGTAGAAGCTGTTCCTCGGTCTAATGGTTCTACACTTAATGCTCCTCAACCTCCTTCCTGAGGGGAGCGGGGCAAAAAGTGTGTGTGCTGGGTGAGTGTGGTCCTTCATGATGCAGGTGGCCCTCTTCCTGCATCTGGAGGTGTAGATGTCTGTGATGGTGGGGAGACTGACTCCAACATCTTCTGTGCAGCCTTCACCACTCTCTGCAAAGCTTTTCTTTCTGCAGCTGTGCAGCCTCCATGCCACACGTTGATGCTGGAGCACAGGATGCTCTCCACTGCACATCTGTAGAAGGAGGTGAGGACTGAGCTTCCAGACCAGCTCATCTCAGCCGCCTGAGGAAGTAGAGTCTCTGATGAGCTTTCTTCATCAGGCTGGTGGTGTTCTTGCTCCAGCTAAGGTTGTTGTTCATGTGTACACCCAAGTACTTGTAGCTGGAGACCACTTCCACCACAGATCCTCTTATGTTCAGAGGGGGTGTAGGTGTGTTTGTTCCTTCTCAAGTCCACAATCATCTCCTTCATCTTCTTCACATTGATGTGAAGGTTATTCTCTTTGCACCAGCTCTCCAGGTGTTCCACCTCCTGACTGTAGCTGAACTCATCATTGTTTGTGATGCATCCCACCACCACTGTATCATCTGCAAACTTTACAGTGTGACAGCCTGGATGGGTAGCTGCACAATCATATGTGAGCAGAGTGAACAGGAGGTCCAACAAGCAAGTCCAACTACATCTAGTTGGTACCGTTCAACCTCACACACAAGCTCCGGCTCCTTACCCACCAGTGAGGTGACATTCCACACCCCAGGAGCTTATTTATACCACCAGGAATCAGCATGGCCAAGGACCCTCCCTCGCCTGCTGCCAGGGTTAATCCATCCACAGCACCCGACCTTGCTGGACCTCCCCGCAAGTGATGAGTCCAGGTGGCTTCCTGTCCTTTTTTTGGGTGTTGTCCGGCCGAGCTTCAGGGGCCAAGGCTCAACTTCCCAGTGCTCAGGTGTCTGGCTCCAGGAAGGTGTCCCGGTTTCCCTCTTCTGGGCTAGGTTTCCAGATGCATGTTTATCCAACCAGGGTTGAATCGCTTTTAGTCTAATCCCTCCCCCAAAGCCTGTTTGCCATGGCGGACCCTACTAATGGCTGATGCCCCCAGAGGGGTCAGTGCAGGGAGGTAGAGTTGTGATTTCTGACCTGAGCCCGTGCCAGACCCAAAATTCAAGCTGGGTCGGGCCAAAATTATGTGCTTGATGGGCGGGGCGGGTCGGTCTCGGGCTATTGATGCGGTTACAGACAGCACAAAAAAAACTAAATAAGAATGCACAACATAAAATTGTGTTAATCTACTTGTAGAGCAGGAGGCAGCAAGTTTACTATGTTGAGGGTGAGGAAAGAAAGAAAATAGAGTAAAAATAAAATAGAGTGCAGCAGTTAATCAGACTGTGACAAGAGAGAGTAGCGCTGGCGCATTGCACATCTAATTGTGCATGTGGCCCAGCCCTGCTTTGCTCTTATCACACATCTGAGGATTTGCAGTTGACCCAAAACAAGCGACATAAAGGAGCTGGAAAGTATAAAAGAAAAGTAAAAACAGGAGAACTCACTTCTGATGTGTGTCAGGTGCACGCTCAGGTCCGACCGGTCGGTTGAAAGAGGTAAAAAAAAGTCCTATTAAGCTTCAGATGGATCACCGGATCATGAGTGGCATGTGTCCCACACCACACCCTGTTCTCATTTGTGGTGGAAGAAGTTGCAGCACCTGAAGCTACAAAAGCTGAAGTGAGCAGCGCGTTCAATTAAAATAGACTTGTCCTATATTTTTAATTTAGCTCTAAAATTATTTTTGTTCATCTGTATAATAGCCGCTCTTTAGAGTTTATTGTTTAGGCTATTCGATGACTTGTTAATAAACAAGAAATCTTATAACTTCCATTCTTTGAAATACATTTTTAAAACTATTATGTCAAACTCCAATAATGGTCAGTCAGGTCATCTGGACAGTTTCTTTTTGGTTGAAAGACGTTTCGCCTTCTATTTGGAGGGTTTTGTCAGTCTGAGGAGTCCCAGTTGTGCTATGGGGTCTCCAGTTTCTCCTATTGTTGCCAACC